CAGGAAAATCACATTTATGGCTTATTATAATATAAACTGGACACGAATAAGTGTTAAGACGCTCGATGGTATCCTCAATACGATTAATTGGCAATGGGAAAGCTGGAGCTGCAGTATCATGTAATTTTTAACATTTTTCTGTTTTCAATAAATTGTGTTTATTTGACTCCCTAACACAAAGAAAATTCTCTTAAAACGTCATCTGATAATCTATCTCCTATAATTTTCAATTTACAGCGTTGAAAGACATATCATTCGATTTGTACTGACAATATCTACCTACTCCAGAAGTCTTTTTTTTTTTATGATGTACACATGGTTTGGTTTGTACGACTCTGGACTGCTGATACCGGCGACGAGATTTGGGTACATTACACTCTTCTCCATACACTTGACAAAGTTCTTCGTGAATTTCCTTCGCCGATTTATTCTTAGCGGCCATGAAACGAATAACAGGCCGCAACTCGCAGCTGGCGGGAGACGCAAGAGGAAACTCCATCGCTGACGTCTGCTGGGGCAAGACCAAGCGTCGTAGGGAGGCTGGCTTGGTAAGGGATTGGAGTTGGGGAATCAAACAACCTGCCTCTGTTTCAGAGCCGCGCAAAGAAACGATCCTAGCGCTAGCGGCAGCCCGTGGAACTTATTTTACGGACACGCCTCGTATATTGAAAAATTAGGGATAAGATGTTAACAGGCGTATGAAAAAATGAAATAGAAAATCGAAAAAAGGCTTCTAGACTCGATGGAAATTTTCTTAATTAACAAATCAAGTGATATTTCTCTCGATGTTGTAGCACGTAAATTGAAGGAGGAGATCGATTTATAGAGGGAGGGCCAACTTCTATGCATTTCAAGTTTTTTGCGCCTATGAATTTCAAAAAAATTCACAGGCGCAAGATGATTTTATTATAGTAATTATCATACGGAGTTACAGACAGATCGATCATTTAGCTTAGGAGATGATTTTTAGATGAGACGTTAACAAGGCTCCTGTACACACACCCTGCACACACACGGGGGCTTTAGAACTGATCGTAGCCAGGATAGTCGGTGTCAACAAGGCTCCTGTACACACTGTGAGGGATTGCAATAGGACTCTTGAAATTTATCGTTTAGCGTTTTGATTCACCTTTGATGTGACCTCGTTTAGATGCGCTTCGTATTTTTTCATTGTATCGGAATCCCACCACAGAGGTGCGTGTAGGTATTGTGTCTAGTTATTCTTGTGATAGTCAGGTATACATATATCCACAGGTTTATATAGGTGACTATGAATATCATAACTTGTATTAATCTGTTACTTATTTTCGCCAAGTTTGAATTAGATTCTGATTTGTTAGTACCCATGATTTGTTTATTCCTGCATTTTCAGAAAGGCTCCGAAACGTGAGGCCGGAGTTAGGAGAAGTGCTAAGGAAATACACGGTTTATTTATTTGTATTCTCGTATCGATCATTTGTTTATTATAGTTATTTATTAAAAGTTTGGGGAAACCGAGAGTTGGTTTGCTTATTTATCGAATAGTTCCCTAACAACACTCTGCACACATACGGGGGCTTTCGAACTGATCGGAGCCAGGATAGTCGGTAACAACAAGGCTCCTGTAAACACACCCTGCACACACATGGGGATGTGACCACTGACCAGAATATTTTCAATGGTTGCCAAATAAGTCAATAATATTTTACTTTAACTCACCGTTATGATATCAAGACGTACTAAAAGCCTCAATAATATTGGTACACTATACGTTTATGTAATTAGTTATGTCAGTTGACTTGTTAGGAATAGTAATACAAACAAATATAAAAAACATAAAATAAAGCGTAAGTCCGCGGGTCGCCTGCCGAAGAACACCACTGCCCTGGATGTAATGGACCATCATGATTCCTGCCTTCCGGAACGTAGCCTTCAACACTTCAAGCCGTCCGTATCTAGGCCGTGGGTCGAACGGGAGCGCAGCCGTGGGTAACAAAATTGACATTGACTCGTAAACAGGCCCTGTGCCTAACGCCAACCATCAGCATGCAATATCCACACATAGCCTCAGACCAATGAGCTGTGGGTAACTCCGGCTAACAGTAAATCCACTTTGCACAACACAGCCACTGCTCCACAGCGCAACTGGCCGGAGCGCAACAGGCAGCGCAGGTTAGGTTACGTTAGGAGTAGCTGTTGCGGTAGGGCCTGTTGCTCACACACGGGGGCTTTAGAACTGATCGTAGCCAGGATAGTCGGTGTCAACAAGGCTCCTGTACACACACCCTGCACACACACGGTGGCTTTAGAACTGATCGTAGCCAGGATAGTTGGTGTCAACAAGGCTCTTGTACACACACCCTGCACACACACGGGGACTCACGAAAACTTTAGGTCGCTTAGGGTAAAGATCAAGCAACGCGCTACGCGGGTTGAGAACTGGACTATAAAAGGAACGGGGCATAAGCGAGCGAGTGACTTGAGGCCCGAGCGATGTTTTGGACGGTTGTCTTCAAAGTTACCCGGTCAATAGACGCCTGGCGTATTTGTGAGGTGCACCTTGTTGGGAAGTGCACAGTGTTTAAAAACAATCGCAACGACTTGAGAGATTTTCTTTCCTGAAGCAAACGATCTGCAAAGAAGAAATCAAATTACACCCTCGGAAGTATCATTACACCCTCGAAGTATTCGTAGCTGTCTACCGAGAAGAAACCGTTCCGCCGATTTCCAAGGGGGCACTATCACGGCGAAGCTTCCATCGTCACCAGCAGCCGCACCGCGTTGTCTTTCAGATAACATCAGCCAGCACCGAAGCTAGTTCTAAATTTTTGTTCCTGGTGACGAGATTCACCCCAGTGCAGCCACGTCAAGAAATATCATCGTGGAAAGGCTGGCCAGGAGCTGCGAAAACCTCGTTAGACAGGCGGAATTTGATTCCTGCGCTGCCACTGTTGTGGGAGAGCTTCCAACATATTTAGGCTATCCGTCAATTTTTGACGCGATAGTGATAATAAAAAACTTCTACGAATCTAGGGGTACAAAGGTTTACTCGGATACTCCAGGACCACTGCGCATCATGTCAAGGTAAGAGTAAAGCCCTCAAAAAATGAGACCTTGTTAAAATCTGCAACAAACACTAACCCTAATCCCCTTGTCAAACAATATTGAACCACAATGCGAAAACGTACGTACAAACTACTAGTAGCGAGATGAACGCCTAACTTCGCAGTAGAAGACTGGTCTCCAGGTGTATCTCTCGACCAGCGGGCAGCGAGAACTACTAGACTACACTAATTATCGGTTTCCACTCTTGTAAAGCCTGGGCTCTTCAATTCCTCCAGTGCATTGGAAAATTCAAGGTGTCTCATTTTAAAACCGCCGCCGTAATCTCCCTTATCCCCTCCCCCCGCCGCCGTAATCCCCACTTTCTCCCCCTCCCCCGGCAGCCGTGATCCCTCTTAAAGATTAAGTTCTCGTAACCATAAGAGAGAAGGTAAGTCTTCTGCCCACGTCCAACTGCCACTCAAAGAGATAAGGAATTGTCCTTTTCAAATCTCGGTGATCACACAACGTTACCAAACTCTAGATTCGGGCGCACGACGGCAACAAACAACTGCTTCATCGCTTCTGCGTTTACGAACTCGTAAGAGCGTCTGATTAGACCAAGAAGTTTTTTGGATGTGTTAGCTTTCGTTTCAACAAGCTTAGAAATTTCAGCTCCTTGTCGACATAAACTCCGAGATTTTTCCACAGTAGACTTTTCAATCATTACTCTATCGTTGCAACCATGTCTTCTCATGCTGTAATCTTGCTGTTCATAGTTCCTCCCGAGGTGAAGTACTTTACACTTGTCAGCATTAAACCGCAGCTGTCACGTATCAGCCCAGTTAACTAAACTGTCAAGATCATCTTGCAATTGCACTTTATTTACCTCATCCTTCGCTAAATTATAAAATTTTGTTTCGTCGGCATACATGGATGTTTTTGAGCACACGCTGGACACTACTTCTGGCAGATCATTTATAAAAGCAACGAACAAAATAGGCCCAAGAATCCAAGAATGCTTCCTTGTGGCACGCTACTCCGCACTGATGCCCAGTCTGACACGGTTCCATTAATGTTGTCGTCTACCTACTAGGTAGACTACTACTACTAGGTAGACGCCTACTACTACCTCTGATCCATTGGAGTACGTTTCCCTCAATTCTCAAAGACTTCCCTTTACGTAACAGCCTCTCATGCGGAACACTGTCAAATGCTTTGGCAAAATCGAGGTACAATGCATCCACTGGCCCCCTTTCGTCCAGAAGGGGAGTCCAATCGTTCAACGTAGACAATAAGTTAGTGGTGCGGGATCTACTGGCAATAAAAGCAATACCATTAATTTATTTTGTAATGTCTAATTATTAATTTATTTTCTATTTTCGCTGTGAATGTTTTGCGATTTTAAGAATCGGTGACAGGCCTACGGCCTAATAAACGCTGAAACCGCAATAATATAATAATAAAACCATGTTGACAATTTATCTGATAATAGATGGTGAACAGTCATGGGCCGATAATCCTATCCCTCACAACAGATTCCATTATCTTACATACAACACTTGTCAGACTGACAGGGCGATAGTTATCGAGGTTACTTTCGTCACCTTTTTTGGACAAAGGTGTTACTTGAGCTTCTCTCCAATCGGACGGCAAAGTTCCTTCGTTCCAGGTTTTTTGAAAAAATACTGTCAATGGGCCGGCCAGAACGGCTGCTAATTTTTTGAGAAATCTGGGATGGAAGCCGTCTGGTCCACATGATTTGTTGACGTATGTATACAGTATATCGATGATGACTGTAATTCATTGTCTTTCCTTTATATAAAAAAAGCATGTAAGTTAAATTATGACTAATTAAACTCGCATTAATACAGCTTTATATTATATAAGAAGTTTCCATATTTGAATATAACCAAATCTGCTGGCGCATGGGTCCTGTTGACAACAACGTGAACAAGAGGACAGTGCTGTACGCACACCTTGTTAGCAGGACACGGGTTGCTGGCGCATGGGTCCTGTTGGCAACAGTGTAAATAGGAGGCATTCTGCTTGCATTCTTTGTGTGTTGTGATCATTCAAGTAACATTAATCGTATTGACTAACAAATAATAATAAAAATAATGATGAATTTTGGGCGGCACCCACCATAATCCTGGCGGGTGGTGGCACCAGCATCCTGAAGCAGCGCCAGCTCGGCACCACCGCGCTGCCGGCTACCGCAGCCACGAGCTCGCACTCCCTGGTCACGTCTGCACGTGCATTTTAATATTTTAAAACAGAAACAAGTTTTTAAAACATTCTCTGCTGCAATTCAATACATTAACTTTCATGCTGCCATACAATAATCCATTAAAATAATTGAAGAAATATAGGCTTCATCAAATCTGATCGTAACTTTGTTTATTTGCTCGTTTAACCTTTGGATCTCAATTCTTCACAGACCTCACTCGACGGCTTCTAACGACTCACTGGCGGGCGCGAACGAGAAGATAGCGGCACCTTCTACTCTCCTCGTGTGTACAGGCTTACTAGCCGGATAGTATAACCAAGCGACCGACACTTGCCAGATTTACTAGCCGTCTGCACTATCCCCATGTACAAACACCTTTACTGCCGACTTGCGATCGTGTGAGTCTCTTATATTTCGAAGCATGTTAGGTAACTTTAAGATATTGCCCTCTAAGCTTAATCTCTTATCTCACGATTTCAGGTATCGTAATCGTAGTTCAAGCCCAACCGCAGCCGTTGGCACAAATCGTAATCAAACCCCAACCAAGCGTTGGCATTATAATACCTAAGTAATCAATTTCAAAGCTCAACCCAGCATTGACAAATGCTATCAAAAGCGAAGAAACGCCAGAAATAGTTTCTCCTTCTTGCCTGCCAAAACCATTTTGTGTAAGTAACTAATGATATACTGCGCAATTGACATAAACCATCCCTGTCATGCCAGTTGTAATCATGTCATCAGTAGTCAATTAACAACGCTTTGCTGCAACGTTTTTAATTAACCCGAAACAATGGGAGTCTAGCCCCTGCCTAGTGTAAGTTTTATTTGTGTCTTACTCGACCTATCAACTAATGATAAATATTATTTCAGCTCAAGTCACAAAGCCATCAAGTCACTTACGTCACCATTGTCACCAACGATAACAAGTAAAAACTACCAAAAGAAAAGCGTCGTTTTACTTGCTCACCATACCAGATCCTTGTCATCATCAGCGAAAATGTGGCATAGGATTTACTATAGTGGCCAATTGAATAGCACTTCAATAAATTAAGTAGCGACTCATTCAATTAAGTAACGACTTAATTAATTGATAAAATGCATTAAGTAGTCCCTCTATAAACTAAATTGCGCCTCAAAGGCTCAATCTATTAAGTAGAACATCAATCTATTGAGTATAATCTCAATTAAAGTAGCGCATCCTTCAATTGTATAGCTAAGAATACAAGTACTTAAATGCACTTATACTAAAACATTAATGTATAAAAATCTACCGTTGAAGTTGAAGGCGACGCAGGCAGGCTGCGCCCCGCACAGCTGCAGGCAGCGCTGCGGGTTGGTCACCGCGCCCACGGACGCCCCCGACAGCAGCTTGCTGGCTCCTATACAGTGGAGAATACAATAATTAATGCAATAGCAATAAATGAAGATAAAACAAAATTTTGTCCTACATTATCAGTACAACGCCGAGACCGGCTTGCTGAACCCTACCCAGTGAAGAGAACAGAAGTTCACTCAAAATAGTAAATTAACTGAAATGTACACTAAAAGTCTTATCCTGTTTTATGAGTAAAATAGGTCCCATTTAATCAGTGAGGAATTATATTATTTTCGGCAAACAGGTGTGGCCGACATTGCTAAACATAAATAGTCCCTAACCCAAACAAAAATCGGGTAACGGATACGCTTCAATTCAGAAGTCATTACGCTTGGCTTATTGTTACTTCGCGTCTGTTTGGTTACACGATCGAAATCATTGTCCGGCCAAAATCTCCTTTCCGACTTTATAGTGTCATGAGAGTGTGATAAGGGTTGGCCGAAGCCGTGTCGTGCCAAGCTTGCAAGCTGCTAAGAGGCTGTACTTTCAGCCCGGCCGAAGTGGACATTATCGGCTGATTTACGTGCTCACCGAGTCCTAGCCGGCAACTGATTCAGAGTTGGGCCCGCATCTAATTTTTGTCAGAAATCGGCCCTCAGTATTCTACTTAATATCACACAAATAATAGAGAAGAGAAAGCTGTTACAACTGTTATATTGGGTTAAATTTTAGATGAACAAGGGAGTGTAGATGTGATACACAGTAACCAACTATAAGTGGGGCCATAGTGACAAAACACAATTGTTCAATTGAAATGGTTATAAACAAAATTAATAATTGAAAAGAAGAGTTGAATTTCCACTCTATTTGTGAGACAATGAAATCGTAAACGATGCTTTGATTTATTCATCTCGTCTATTCATCATGCTACTCAATTAAATCACATACCTACTTTATTGAATCATCTACATGAATACATTGAAGCTAACGAAAGAATACATTGAAAACAAAGGACTATTTGTCTGCTGTTTGTAACTCTCGTTCCCTTGCCTTTACATACAAAGAAAATGTGGTATACGTACGTAAAAGCATTGACGACCATTAATGCGTCGGTTGACAAAGGGCTAGCGGTTCCAAAACATTATTGCGAGCATTGATCACTAGTGGCACAGCGGGGTCACGAGCGATACTTAGTTAGGTATTTATTGATAAACTATAAAGTTTACTGCCTAAATCCGGTTTGCTGGGGGTACCTATTCAATAAAATATTTACATGAGAATTTAATATTTGCATACGAATGTGGTTAATGTTAACCAATGAGAGAAGCGATACGTTCCTACATGACGAAAAAGTAGGCCGTGGGGGCGATCACAGCCAAAGTGCTGTACGTGTGCACTATGCCTCCAAGAAATGCAAAGCTTGCTGGTAGCACAGCACCAGATACCCCGTTTTACTCACCCATGGTGGCGGCAGAGTAGGTATTGGCGACCACCGCAGCACCACTTAAGTGTACCATGGCGACCAGGAATACCACGGTTGCTGGTAGCGCAGCACCAGCCATCATTTGAACAAGTCCTATCTGCTGCAATGGAGTAAGTTGATGCTTGACGCAGATGTTGTGAAGTTGTTGAAAAAGGTACGAGATTAAACTGAATAATAATAATCAATTAACGCCAAGCACGAGTTAGGAAAAAAGTTGGTCCTCTGGAACAAAAATGAAACAAAACTGGAAGATTTGCAAAGTTCAGGACTTTCGTAAATTTTTCCGCACAATTATCGAAAAGTTGAAGGGCAACGGTCAGCACAATACCTGTTTGGAACTTTAATGACGCAAAAGATTATAATGAACTTGGACACGTGAAACTTCGAAAAGTTTTGAAAATTAGAATAGTCGTTTAAGGGGATCGTCTGGGTCCAGGAAAAACTTCTACATTTATTAACCAATCTTCCTGAAATTTCACACACATAAGAAACTTGTAAAATAAAAAATAATTTGCTTGCATAAATTTTTCGGAAAAAATGGAAGAAAACGAGAAATTAATAGAAAACGTCAAAATAAGGGGTACTCTAGAAAAGTTTCTAACTTTAGCAAATCACAAGCTACAATGCCGAGACACATATCATTCGATTCGTAACAACATTATCTAGCGACTCCAGAGGCCCGATTTTTCATTTTCCTCGTTTTTTCTTTAATGTGCGTTTTTCTCAATTTTTACACATTTTCCCCCCTTCCCCCACCCCTCCCATATATATAAATCAAACCATGCTCGAATTCGAAAAAAAGGGCTTCCAGAGTCGCTAGGTAGGGTCTTTACGAATCGAATGGTATGTCTGTCATTGCTATAGCTTCAAAATTGTTGGAGTTATTACATTTTTAAGATGCGTTTTTAGGATTTTTAAATTTTTTCAAGGAAGCCAATTAAAGTAAAATTCAGTGAAAAAAGAAGAAAATGTCAAAGAATTTCTTGATATTGTAGCCCAAGCTTTTCCATTGCCATTTATTTGCTTTCAGGTACCAGCGCGCGTCCATAGACTTATTCATGTCCAGTTTAACGTGAATAATAAGCTATAAATGTGACTTTTTATGTATATATGCATATATAAAATATTCATTTTACATAACTTTACAACGGCATTACGCAAAAACTATTGCATTTACATACATGGTAGTAGCTTTGTTGAACGCGTCTTGTTTGTAGATTTCAAACGAGTGCAAACACTTTGCAATTAACGCAAATAATGATCTATAAATACTATTTTTAAATGAAAAATTTGTAAATATTGATATAAAATGGCCATTTTATAAAAGTTCGAAACAGCCTTGCGCCAAATCTATTGCACGTACATCCCTGGTAGTGTTTTCGTTGAACGCGCCTTGTTTATAGCTGTCAAACGAGTGCAAACACTTTGCAATTAACAAGCATAGTGATCAATAAATTCAGATTTAATTTGAAGAAATTTTTGTACATATTGTTAAAAAATGTTCATTTTATATATTTTAAAAAATTATAGAAAAAAACTATGGCACGCACATGCATCCGGATTGCTGCGTTAGACGCGACTTTTCAGCAGCTACAAAATGAGCCAATAAAACGGAAAAACCGAAAATTTCGATTTTTGACCCAGACGATCCCCTTAATGTTGATTTTTATTTGTATCAATCAAAATGGGCGTTTTACCACAATATTATATATATGTTCCCTCGTACGCCAGATGCACTTCTGGCCGCGGCAAATTATGCTCAGCGTATTGCCGGCTACCTGATGCCGAATTGAATGATTCAAATATAATTTTTTGACCCGCAAAAACCCAAAGAAATTTTTTTTGGTTTGTTTTCCTCCATTTTATGAGGCTTCAAACAATTTATATCGAATGTCGGAATCTTGGCATCGATGTCAAACTACGGAATTTATTAACTTGTTTCCCGCTGAAGTATTTCCCTCTTACAACCTTCAAATTCAATGAAATAAATAGGATATCATGGAATAGACTTGTATCTATGAATTGACGAATCAAGGTACATGTTTGGGTTACAAATGCATCACCTCTCCTATATAGGGACCTTGTTGTGGGGAAAAAATAGCACACGATTTCAAAATGACTGAATATAATCAGTGCAATAGATTTAGTCTGAAGCTCAACCTTCAAATTAAGTGAAAGTAACATTTATAATGCAGCGTCGCTAACGGAGATTGTAGGTATGTGTTCATGGGCCACGGCTCCACACACTAAATATTCTAATTTAATTTTCGATTTTGCATTCAAACTATGAAAATTAATATCTAGTTGCAGATTCGCTAACGGATATTATAGGTACGTGTTCATGGGCCACAACTCCACACACTAGTCTCCTGACGACCGGCAGGGAGCCGCATATTTGAATGGCTGCAACGCTCGATAAATGCGACCAAATTACCCGGCACAGCAAACGAGATTCTCGCTAGCAAGAGAAAAACAGAACTGCATGCGATCCAATGACGGTCAAGTCATTCGGACGTTAGTATAATGATGGCACACTTTAGAGCTGCAGATATTAGGCCCACTTAGTATAAAATATTAATTCTTTCATCCCTGAGCGATAGAACGAAGTTCGATCCAGGCAATGATAGGAATGGTAAATGCAGGAAATGACGGCAATGACGGACAATGATGGAGATGCAGACGAGGGGTGAGTGGGAGTCACACCACGTGTAATGGCGTGAAGCATGTCACACCACAAATAATCGTTTCAGATCAACTCTTCTATCTTCAGAATGACTCTTCATTGGAATGGCTCATCATTGGGATGAATCTTCATCACGACTTCATCATTCATCAGAATACCACTTCTTATTAAGGTCTTCAGTATGAACCCTGTATTGATCGAGAGGCTCGTCGCATAATGTCATGTTTCAACTGAGCCTCGATAATTCCGACGTAACATCATTAGTGCTCGAGTCTATAACAAATTGGATCTTTAATCAACTGATGTAAAATGATGCCCTTAATGGTACCCTCACGACGCTGCCCTGATGGCATCAAATTGTTGGAGGCGCACTGATATCTTAAGGTTAATATTTACTTGGAATTGTAGACACCCAACACGAACAACTTTTATAAATACACTGCCTGAGACACGTGCGTTGCGGAATTGATATCGAAAATCTGATTAATAATTCTTTGAGCCATCAGGTTTGGGAATTATTACTCCTGATATGATAGAAAATTCAGGTCTATATTTGAATGGCTGCAACGCTCGATAAATGCGACCAAATTACCCGGCACAGCAAACGAGATTCTCGCTAGCAAGAGAAAAACAGAACTGCATGCGATTCAATGACGGTCAAGTCATTCGGACGTTAGTGTAATGATGGCACACTACAGAGCTGCAGATATTAGGCCCACTTAGTATAAAATATTAATTCTTTCATCCCTGAGCGATAGAACGATGTTCGATCCAGGCAATGATAGGAACGGTAAATACGGGGAATGATGGCAATGACGAACAATGATGGGAATGCAGACGAGGGGTGAGCAGGAGCAGAGCATGTCACACCACAAATAAACGTTTCAGATCAACTCTTCAATCTTCAGAATGACTATTCATCACGACTTCATCATTCATCAGAATACCACTTCTTATTAAGGTCTTCAGTATGAACCCCGTATTGATGGAGAGGCTCGTCGCATGTCATGTTTCAATTGACCCTCGATAATTCCGACGTAACATCATTAGTGCCGAGGCCAAAACAAATTGGATCTGTAATCAACTGATGTAAAATGATACCCTTAATTGATGGTACCCTCACGGCTCTGCCCTGATGGCATCAAATTGTTGGAGGCGCACTGATATCTTAAGGTTAATATTTACCTGGAATTTAGATACCCAACACGAACAACTTTTATACATACACTGCCTGAGACACGTGCGTTGCGGAATTGATATCGAGCATCTGATTAATAATTCGTTAAGCCATCACGTTTGGGAATTATTACTCCTGATATGATAGAAAATTCAGGTCGTTTATGGCATCTAGATTTGAGGTGATATATGTCTGTATAAGAATCAATAAGCTATTAGGACAAGGAGAGTCAAACAGCTTGGAAGTCATGGTTCCAGCGACTCAGAAATTCATTGTGAAGATAAGTGCCTTCATTAGCTTCTTTCGCGAAAAAGTAAAACCGTAGTGAAGGGACAAAACAAGCAGAATAAGAGAATATGTTGCTGGAGGTTAGGCTGGTCCCATCATATAGAAGTAGATAGTTGGCCTGATCATTTAGATTGGGCAAATCAAATCGAAGCAAATGAAGATCCTTTAGAAAATCTAGGATTTCTATAAAAGACTCAAATGACGTATGTTCAAATATATGAACGGCGATGTGTATGTGCCTAAAATATATTTTAAATGAAGCTTTCATTGGAGGCCAGGGAGTATTTATTATTGCCAATTTTCTTATTGTTTTTCTCTAATCGGCGAATTTGGCTTTAAAAAAAGAAGCATTATTCCTGTCACAAAGAAGGTTGTAGACTTCTCCAGAACGTAAATTACATCGGTTTGAGCAGCACGACTTTAAGCCGCCGCCTCACATGCCACCTCCAGCCCGGAGGACCGAAGAACCAACCACATAAGAGAAACTCATAAACTGGATACCACTTCGAACCTTGTCGAGAACTATAGAAAGAGACTGCTGGAGGTTATAAAAATCTGAAGATATGCCATTGATTATTAACATTACAGCTTTGTTAGTATTTTCCAACTGTACGAATAAATGTGTCTGAAGGTGTTGGGGAATTTTGCATGTTCAAGCGTTTTGTAATTACATTTTGTTCCAAAAATTTAGTGCTTTTTTCCAATTACACATTGATAAGTTCAATCAAATACGAGTTTTAGGCTCATTCATTCGTCAATTATTTCGAGTTATTCAAGAAACCATTGGAAAAATGGGGTGTAAGAATAATTTCGTCGCTAACTGTACAAGGTACGCTGTGATGAGGCGATGTATTGCGACTATCGCCAGGAAAATCGCAATAGGAACACATTCAAACATTCCCAAGTTCGTAATATGACATTTTTGCATGAACATGGCAGCACAAATGCAGGGTTCAACATAAAAGATAAATATTATTGGGTGACAAGTGATGTACTGGCTCTAAGACAGGCTCACCAAGACTCACTCGTACTCATCACGTCACCAAGACTCACTCGTACTCATCACGTCACCAAGACTCGTACTCATCACGTCACCAAGACTCGCTCGTACTCATCACGT